GGCAGGAGGAAGGAAGCCAACAGGTCTAGGATTGGCTACTAAAGTAGAAAAGCACCTGTGTGATTTCAGTTCACATTCCTCCCAGACCAGGACAGCCAGAGTTTGTCACTGGTGGTTAACAAGGACCGTGAACTCGCATTATGTGTCAATAGTTTTCACAGGAAGGAAGTGCATCCAAGTGCTCGGGGACTCGAACGTCCTTGCTCACATACAGGTATTCCCCAAAATTAGGACTGAAACCAATTTACCAGGAAACTTCCAGTGTTGTAATGTCATTTATACGTATGCAGTGATAAACAGAGAACGGAGCATCCATTGATCCACACTCCCACATGCATACCTCTAATTTTTTACACTTTCTTAAACACAGAAATTTAGTAACCTTAAATGCTTTTGATTCAGGTAGTGTGAAAGCGGCTACCATTGAAAGATGCAAATACATTTGACAAGCAGAGACCAAAAACTAAGTGGTTAACATTGAATTATCTCAGCAATCAAAGCCAAGGATGGAACAGTGCTTCTGTTTAATGCAGTACAGAAATCATGTATTACAGTAACCTTCTAAAGGTCTCTAGGAGTAGTTTGCAAAATACTTGGGAGATATTAATTGTCTTCGGCCCATTCCATGCGACCTTGAGAGCACACAGTCTACGTACATATCCCAGAAGTTCTGGGCTAAATCATCGAAGAGTTCGTTGTGCTTGGGCTTGGGCGATTCCTTTAAGAACATCATGAAGTCCCAGAGAGCAATGACCGAATCTGCTACCTTGAGTTTCTTCATTTCCACCAGCTCGTGGGATGACACTTCCCAGCACTGGTGGTCAATCTGGCCCAGGCTGGAGGGGGTCTCCTTTTGAGAGTCCATATTGGCAAAAACTAGATTCAGCATCAACATACAGCCCAGCTGAAGATACCACCTTCTTCTCCATACAACTTCCATATTCCAAGCAGCTGCCTGAAAGAAAGTGTCTGAAATCACAGGGATTCTGTCAGTATGTAGTTAATTCTCATACAAGATTAAAGGATGCCCCCAGAGATGACTTATCCTTCGGGGTTCTTCATAATAAAACACTTTCAGGACAATATTTACTTTCAAACCATGGCATAAATACCAACCAATGAATCCTAGCAAAGGAACTAGGATTGCACCTAAAAAATTGTCAATGCTATTTCGAATGCAAAACCCTGAAGCCGAAAGTTTGATGCCCAACTGGTCATGGTCTATGGCAGAACTATTCCCAGAGCTCAAGGGTTCTCCCCTTCCTCTCTTGGGATTAGCCCACTAGTAAGCAAATTAATAGCTAATAGATGCTTAGAGAACCCCAGTGGTATATTCTCTTTAAAACAACTGCAAACAAGTAGCAGGTTCATAAATACCCAGTCTGTCATGGAATAGCCCTAGTCTGCACTGTGGAAATGAAAAGCATGAAGTGTTGCATAGTGCGGGGTGAATGTCAGCATTGTAGGAACTCATGCAGTAGCTGTTGCACAAATGGAAAAAAAAAAAA